ATTGTCCTTCTGAGTTGGATGTAGTTGGGGTGGAGACCAGGTACTGACTCCCTGACACGCAGGCTTAGCCCAGGAGATCCTGGGAGGTGCACTGACCTGCTCCTGAGGAAATGATCCACACTGACGCCTCCAGTCCCTCCCTCCTGCACCCTGCTGGGCCCACCACACGGGGAGAAATCAGACACAGTGATGATGTGAGAGCATCAGGCTCCACATAAGACTGGAATACGCCTGGCCATTTCCTTGCTAAGGACGCATGTCACCCCATTTTTATGTGGTGTTTTACAGGACTGCCCAGGTAGAGGTCTTCTCAGGGGAATGAGGTGTGAATATGAGTCTCTGTGCAGTGGTTCTCTGTGGTGTACCGAGCAGGACTGACCCCCTGTTCTAGAAAAGGTGGTTTTGGAAGTTCTCAAGAGTCCCTAAGATAGCAAACATGATGAGCACTCTGAGATATAAACATGATTCAAGGACTAGGGAAGAAACTTACAATTAAATGGAAATGCTATAAAAAGGTCCCTCTCTCACTGTCCTCTGATTAAAGAGAGCATATAATTTCAAGGTGAAGTAGACAGAAAATCCAGAATGCCTGCCTAGCCTTAAATTACAACAAGATACAGTGCCTGCCCCCTTAGGGACCCTCGAGTTTTCACCTTTACCCTAAGGATGTACACTGGGACGGAAATGTGGTTCTATGCATGTCAGTTTTCATCTCTTACCAGGCTGGAGCTTTTCTCTTCTCCCTGGCAGCACTTTCTTTACCGTTTCTCTGCATGTCCTGCTATCTATCATTCTCTTGGCCTAGTCCCTGGCAGCCTTACTCTCTCCCCTTCCAGCAACCTGAGTTTAAAACCTGTCCGTGTTTCCCTTATTGAAAGCAATCTCTCAGCTAGCTCGGCTCCTGAGCTGCCCTCCGTCACGCAGGCCTGTGCGCGGTGCCCGGAATGCAGCAGCAGCTCAGTCAGTGTCTGCTGAGTAGTGGCTGACGCTCTTTTTCCTCTTCACTAATGAACTTCTCAGAGCCTATCCTTCCAGCCTCCACCGGTCCTTCCATCCTTTCTGTTCCAATTTTGTAGCCTGTTCCCCGCCTGTCTCCCTAAAATTTCTCTCTCTGAGGTCAGAGATGCATCAGATCCTTCTCCGTCTTTATCGTCCGTCCCCCTCCCCTCATCTCAGCAGGACAGCACTGTTGTCCCCCTTTCCCTCTCTTGGCTGTGTGGCAGTGCGTTCTCCCCAGGCTCCTACATTTAGTTATTTAGGAGTCAGAATTCTCTTTTTTTTTTCCTTTTGAATTGGGACTCTCTTTTCCCTCCCTTTTCTTCTGCATCCTGAATGAAGCAGATGCTTCTCCAAAGTTCTCTGCTAGGCTTCATCCTCTTTGTGCATTCGTCTATGCTGAATGCTTCGTCTATAGAGTAATTGCCAGATTCACTTTGTCGATCTCAACCTCACTTCTGAACTCCAGTTCCATAGATCAGATATCTACTGAAACTTTCCATGTGGATTTCTAATAAAATTCTACATTTCCACAATAGCTCAATTATCTTACTTTTCGAATGTATTTTCTTCCTGTCACTGTTTCTGCTTATCACCCCACTGTCCTTCCAGTTAGTAAGTCTCTCAGTGCTGCCATCAGCTTTGCGTCCTGTCCTGATTCGGGGCCTGAACCTTCCCGTCCCGTGTAAGCTGTCCTCGCTCTCATTCAGGCTCCCCTTACCTCACTCCTGGGCTTTTCACCCTTCATCTCCCCCAGTTGCTCCCCAAACACTCGGTAATACCCACATCATTTGACCCTGGGCCACCCTACGTGCTGCATGCCACAGCGCGTCCTGTGCTTCTCTGATCCTGGCGCCACCTGCAGAGACAGTCACGGACTCCTGCTTGGTCACTCGATCAAGAACATGGAACTGATGCTTTTTGAGCACTTATCATATAACAGGCCTGTGAGGTCAGACTCCTTACCTCTGTTTCATCACAGGGAACTCAGGCTCAGAGAAAGAAAGTGACGTGTCCAAGGTCACATAAAAGGTTGGTAGAAAACTGGGATTTTAATGCACCTGTCTGGCTGAATGCAGTGCGTACAGCGCCTACATTTGCCTTTAGCCAGGGTGCTGGGGCTGTGCCATGCGGCTCTCTGCCCCCCTGCATGATCCTCAGCCCACGGCCAGAGGACTCAAAAGCCTTTCTCAGCTCTGGCTGAGGCCCTCATTCCTCATAGCCCCCCACTGATTCCATTCTCTGATTTTTGATCATGCTGTTCTTTGTGTCTAGCACTGAACCCACCCCCGCTGTCTGGCTAAATTCCATATCCATCCTCTTAAAACTCAGTACAAAGAACTTCTCCTCTTATTTCGTCTCTGTCCTTCCAAAGCAATTTTTCATCCTCTGAATCCTCACTGGACTTAACATGTATTGTGGTTATAATGTGTGTCCCCCGGCCCTCCAAACTGGTTAGTTCCTCTTCTTAAGCGTTCCCAGCGCGTCCTTTAATACAGCCCCCAAGTGGTATTACTTTGATAGTTAGCTGTTCACCAACTGCCTCGTGCAGCTGGAATGTAAGTTCCCTGGGGGCAGGGGTGGTCTGTCTGGTTCATGAGTGCTTACACGCTTCTCCCTCAGTGTCTGGCACATAGTAGGTATGCAGTAAAATTCCCTGCATGAGGAACCTAATGCCTTGCTCTTCTCTCACAGACTAAGTGACTTGAGGAGAATGGCCACATCCGGTTTATCCCTGCGCCCCTGGAGAGCTTCTAGCTCTGCACCGCGCTCAGAGTTAAAAACTCAGTCAGATTTTGTGGAATGAACTAAACAGAGGCCTCGATAGTCTTCCCCCATCGTGGTCTGAAGCTGAGGGCCTCAGAGCTAAGGCTCATTTTGCTAGAATGACTCCCCTCCAGGTGGAGGGAGTTAGCTGCGTGCAGCCTCTGGAAGCCCCTCCCGTCTCCTGGCCTCGGGCGCAGTCGGAACAGAGATCATCCGCGATGCCGCTCGCCCTGTCAGGAGCTCTTTTTTTGGTATCTGGCTAAATCTGACATTTTGTATCTCATTCTCATTCTTTTTGCCCCAAAGTCACTATTTCCTTTCTTTTACTATACTCTCACCACCCCTTCCTTTTACAATTTCGAGGTTCTGGTCCTCTCCTTTGTCTCTCTTCTCTATGTTTAGTTTCTAAGCACCCCGCTCTGTTCCCAGACAATTCTGGGGTTCCTCCTCCTCCACCCAGAGCAGCGCCCTCTTCCCCGGGGTTACTGCTGCCAGCCTGCCGCCTGCCGCGCTCTCTGGAGACAGTTTGTTGGGGGAAGCGTTCTGTCACGCTGTACTGAACAGAGTGCTGGCACCTCTGGGTGTTCGTCTGCGCCTTGCCTGGCACTCTGCCACTCCTTCCAGGGCGTCTCCCTCCAGCTGTCAGAATATTGGTAGCAAGTTACTTAGGTGAAGGTTGGGAGAGGGACATAGTAAAAAGTATTGGTAGTTGCCTTGAGAGGGTGTAATAAAGAGAATTTGGTGAGATATGATGACTTTCCAACATTAATGAACCATTTGGCATCTCCTCACACAAAGCCGGAGCTGGCCAGGGCCGTCCCCACTAGGGCACGCTGGGGTTGGTCTTCCCCTTGTACCTGGTGCCACCTTTGCTGCTTCTGCACTTGTGAAAACAGTGTGAGGTCAGCTTCCTTCTGAATGATGCCTCTGACCCCTTTTATAGCGGAGACTATGACTGTCTTCTCTCCGCCTACCCCATACCTCTGTTTAGAACCTTGTTCTAGCACAGAAAGTCTCCATTGCACTGAGAAGAGTGGAAGGTGCCAAAATAAACGTCTGGCTTTGAGCAGCCTGCTTTTTTAACGTACCCTAAGGCAACAGTGTGAAGTCGGTCAACAAGACATTGGACAGGAGACGCTCTAATTAGAAACCTTCCTCTCCTTAATGTGAGAAGACGAGACGCAATCCCAGTGTGGATTTCTGACCCCTAAGCATGGCCAAGCTGTGTTCCAGTCAGGCACCCTGTTTCACATACTCGACGCCAGTGGCTAGTTTGGGATCCTCAGGGCCCAGGGATCTTGACTGGAACCAACTGTGGACCATATGGCCCTGGGTAGGTCTGCTCTGGGGTGTTTAGATTTAGAGTCTGCACCTGTTGGCCTTCCTCTCCTGGGTACAACCACCTTCCCCAGGTTTCAGGGAGCATGGCCCGTGTGGCCACATCTCAGGAGTAGGGAACTAGAATGTAATACAACCCTGGCGACCTGTTGTAAACAAGAGTTGTTTAAGTAGCTTGACCAAGCATCACGCTACCAGTCGTATTATCTTCTCACATGCTGGTGTGAAGCTCTCAGCAGCCACAGAAGTAAACAATAGGTGAGTGGCGATAGCAGGGTGCCTCTCTGGAACTCCTGTGAGTGGCAGGCACTGGGGAGGCCTGGCTCCCAGCAGTCCTAGCAGCAGACATCAGTGTCCCCATTTTGCAGATGAGGAAATTGAGGTTTAGAGAGATCAAATAATTTGTCCAAATCACATAGCTAGTAAGAGGTGGGGTTGGGATTTGAATTCATACCAGTCTAACTCTAAAATGCGTGCTTTTTACCCAGCAGTGAAGCCTATAAAGATAGTGGAAACACCATACCCTGAAGCAGCTGTGTAATTCTGGGTTACAGGGAGATTCTCAGACTTAAGAGGTTCTGGTGTCTGATGTTAGCTCTGTTACACTAAAGGATAATGCAAAACATGTATGTTTTCTTCCCATCTCAACTTGTTCGTTTATAAAATGGGCACATGCAAAAGCCACATTCATCATATTTTAAAACAAAAGTCATTGCAGCCGCTGCCTGTCCCACCACTTCCCTTGCTCCCTGGGAATGCTGCCTGGTCCTGAGCAGGTTGGAAGTGCTTTGCCACATCTAACGTTTTTTCCCCAAAGACCCTAAATACTTTAATGATGGTAAAGATGATAACCCATGATTGAATAAATTTGCTCAATTCGAATTTTCTTTTGTTCGCAGAGAATGGCAAATCTGTTCACTGGAAACTGGGAGCTGATAAGGAAGTCTGGGTCTGGGTGATGGGTGAACACTATTTGGATAAACCCTACGACATGCTCTGTAATGAAATTATTGCTGAGCGGGCCCGGCGGAAAGCAGAGCAGGAAGCAGAGGAGTTCAGGTAGGAGATCCGCCAACCAGCGAGAGGCTGGCCTTGTAAACCAATGCAGAGAGGCCCCTGCTCACGGCATCCTGCGGGAGAGGCAGGTGGGATCTGAGGGTCACAAAGTAACTTTAGATCTCTCTGGAAACTTTCTTTAGACTTTTGGCCATTCCCCTCATTCCCACACTGCTTTCAGGTTGGCTGTTTCACTTCGCCACTTGTCATTCCAGTTTCCGTCTGGATGCAGTTCCCCGTGGTCACGGGCTTCACTAGAATCACGCTAGGGCGGTGCAGGCCGCCACAGCTGAGCCTCGGGACTATAAGTGAGAAATGCAGCAGCTGTTCATGCTCAGGCCTTCAGAGAAGATTGCTTAGACCTGGGTGGTGGAATAGGCAGGCCCTGTAGGTGCTTACACCGTGCCAGGCACTGGGAATTCAACGATGAACAAGGAGCTTCCAGTCCAGGAGGGGAAACAGACAGACACGCGACTAACTGCAGCCAGTACAGGCTGTGATCTGTGCTATAATTAAGTTATAAACAGAGCTAATCCACAGTTCTAATCCACAGAAGAGGTGAAATCTGATTTGAACCTTGAAAGATAAGTAGAGTTTTCCGGCTACAGAAGATCAGGAAGGAAATGGCAGGCAGTGGGCATAATCAAGACCCCTAGACTTGAATGTGTATGGTTCTGTGGGTAATGAGTTCTTCTGAGTCTTTGGGGTGTATGTGGGCAAGTGGTAGGAAACGGGCCATGCTCTAAAGAGCCTCAAAGGCCAGATTTGGGAGTATGGGCCTTATTCTGTGAGCAGTGAGGAGGTTAGGAATAGGAGGCAACATCATCAGCTGGAGATACAGGAAGGTGATTTGGGTGGTAGCTGTGAGGCCGATGATGGATCCCTTTGCTGGGTGCCCAGAGTGGCCTCTACAAAACCTGCTGCCCCGTGGGTGTTGACAGCCTACCTGAGCTGGTGGAGCAGAAACAGACATGTGGACCTTGATTCGGTCCCGAGGGCTGGTGATGCTGCCCACCAACTCCTGTAACTTTCAAGCTGTGAGTGGCCACACAGAGGGAAAGGAATCGTTTGCTGCTGATCTTAGGAAGGCAGTGTGTTCTAGCAGTTTAGCCTCTGAACCAGGAGTTGGGCAGACCTGGGTTCAAATCCTGGCTGTACCGCTATGTGGCCTTGATAAATTATATAATTATTTTGAGCCTCTTACAACAAAGCAAGGATAACGGTGCCTTCCTCGTAGGGTTGTTAGGAAGATTAAGGTAATGTCTTTAAAATACCCAACAAAGGGATCAGCATATTGTAGGCATGCAGTAAATGGTCTCTGTTACTGTTTTTCACATAATGTGAGTGTAGACATCTGCTTTGGAAAAGCTGTGCATGTTAAAGAATGTTTTTGATAATCCCACATTTGTTTCTCTTCAGAAAAACTCAGTCCAAAGAATTCACCAATAGCTTGAAAACAAAATCACAGCACTGTGACCTGCCAGCACCAGATGACGGGGAGACTGAGAGTGTCCATGGGCAGGCGGCAGGCCCCGGGCCAGCACCACCCCGCCAAGAAGAGGAGATCTCGGTGAGTCTTCGTGTCTGTGAACATTCGGAGTTCATAACTGGGGGGATAAAGGTACTGAGGCCACTGAGATGAGTGTCGCTGAGCGTCGGCTTTTCTGGGAGAAATCCCTCGCCCTTTGAAGGCTCTGCTATTCATTTCATTTGGGGGATTTGGCTCACCCGCTACTTCACAAAGAAGGTAAAGCGCCCCTTTTTCATGGGACTGACAATGCGAAGAAAGAACTCTAGGAGTAAAATTTTGCATTTTAAGGTATTTTCAGGGTTTATTTTTCTGTTATGTGTCTTCTATAGGGAAGGGCCAGGTGGCAAACGCTCGAGGTTTTGTGGGCCGTGTGGCCTCTGTCTCAGTCATACACGGATGAGTGGGCCTGGCTGTATTCCATGAGACTCCGCTGACCAAGGCAGGCGGCGGCCAGGCTTGGCCCATGGGCTGTGGTTCGCTGACCTCCTTCTTAACACTGCTGCCTGCGTGATCTAGACTGCGTTCTGCTGAGCCTTCCCCTTTCTGTTGAGCCTAAACCTCTGAGCCTCCTTGGCTGCGTAGATCCTGCCTGTGATTGTGGGGATAGTTACTTCCACGACACAACAGAATTTTATCCTCATAACTGGTGTGAATTGTGTCTCAGGTGGTTTTAAAAGCTCAAACGTAGTTTGCTGCTTGGAAGAACAATAGAACTGTATTATGAAGCACCTTCTGCTGCCAGGAGTTTAGTTAAGCTGAGAATGAACGGGGGTCTGCGGTGGTTTGACTTCCGTTCGGGTCCCAGCTCTGCGACACTGGTCTGTGCTCTTGACTTCTGGGAGGCTGGCAGTGGGGACACAGTTACCTGTCCCGCCTCCGTCATGAGCCTGGTGGCACTCTAGTACCTCGCAGGGTGGAGGGTTATTCTGTGGCAAAGCACACTGCAGAGGGCCTTGTTGAATCCCCACAACAACGTTAGGAACTAAGAGCTGTTTGTATTTGTCCATTTTACAGGTGGGAAACTGAGGTCGGGTATGGTTGCTCAGTCTACCCAAGGTCTTAGAGTTGATAAAAGACTGAACCAGGATTCAGAGCGAGGTCTGAGGACCCCGAGGCCACTCCTTGGCTATTGTACTCGATTGCCTGATTGGGCTGAGGGATGTGAAGAAGCTTATGAAGGGCTGTCAATAGGGGGCTCAAATATGGAGAGGCACATGATTCTCGAGCTTGGCTTACGTCCTGGGATCAGCCCCGTGCACTCCCCTCACGCCGCCAAGAGTCCCCGACGCTTTCCCGGGCCTGCTCGGCACTCAGCATGCTTGACACCAAACCCCGTCCAAACAGCCCTCCTTCTCATGCCCCTAAAATGAAGAACAACCATGGCAACAAAAACCTCCTTCAAGAGCATGAAGTCTGTGTGCTCATCTTTGTGCTGCAATTACAGTACTCTCCTAGGGAACAATGTTCAAAAGTAGGACAAAAGATTAAAATAGAAATCAAAATAGATACCACGGTTGTTATTCTTTTGCTGTGTCATAAATATTATAGGGGTTGTGGCACTCTTCCATCCCTTAGATGTTTGCCAGACTGTCATATGGAAAGAGATGGGAGCAGGGGATAAGGAGACATTTAGGGGCAAGAAATATGGGGCAAATAGGGGGAAGGTTTTTACATTTCTGCTTTTCATCTTGCCCTGTGTCAGAGAAAATGCTTTCAGGGTCTTAAAAATATATGTATATAGAGAGAGAGACAATGATGAGAAGATCCCAAAATTGATTGATTTACCCATTCATTTAAAATGTAGTCATCATGGGGGCCGGCCCATGGCCGAGTGGTTGAAGTTCCATGTGCTCTCCTTTTGGTGGCCTGGATTTGTGGGTTCGCATCCTGGGTGCGGACCTATTCCACTCATCAGCCATGCTGTGCAGGCCTCCTACATGCCAAGTAGAGGAGGATTAGCACAGATGTTAGCCCAGGGCTAATTTTCCTCAAGTGAGAAAAAAGAGGAGGATAAGCAATGGATGTTAGCTCAGGGCAAATCTTCCTTATCAAAAACAAAATCAAAAAGTAGCCATTATATGCTAGGCATTGAGACTACAATGTTGGGGTGGAAACAGAATCACGGCTGTGGTGAACTTCACTGCTGAGGGAGCAGGGAGAGACTTCACATGACATCCCATTGCATACGATGGAGAGTGCTCCCCAGACGGGGACATGAATCTGTGCAGGCTGACACCAGCATGGGAGCAGTACTAGGGAATGCAGGATGGCTTTGCAGAGGATGTGGAGCTGGAGGTGACGACAGGCAATGGTTCCAGCAAAGGGACAGTGTGGGCAAAGGCTGTGGAGCTGGAGGGAACAGGGGCTTTGGAGCCCTGAAGTAGGCTGCGTGGCTGCAGTGCCAACAGGAAGGAGGAGAGAGATGACTGAGCGCGGGGTGGACAAGGCAGGCAGGACAGGGTCTTGGGGACGACTTATGTGTTTTGAACCTTTTATTCAAGGACAGTTGGAAATTGTCAATGGTTTTTGAGCAAGGGGTTGAACTGATCAGATTTATATTTTGAAAGGAACTCATCATTCTTGGATCAAGGAGGGTGGGAGTGAGGTTTCCAGTACAACCCAAGTTTCCAAGCTTGGATGGCTGGGAGAATGGCGGTGTCGTCAGCATAAACAGGAACATCTGGGAAAGGAGCTGGTTTTAGAGGAGAAGATGAATCTACTTCAGAGACAGCAAGGATCTCCCACACTGTTCGACGTGGTGGGGGTGGATGGGAGCTGATTTTGTAGGTATAATAAAGTACATACAATTTGATTTCGAGTTCACAAAGCTTTTTCTCATATAATTATTTCATTTCACAACCTCCTCTGAAGTAGGCAGTGCAGGTATTTCTTTTGTACAGTTGAAGAAACTAATGCTCACAGAGATTAAGTGATTTGTCCCGAAATCACAGAAAGTCCTCGTTTTTGTATATCTACTTTAATTCCTGCTCCCATCATAACTTTGATGTATTTAAAACAGAGTTCATGTTCCCCCGCCCTGCTCCTTTAGATGAGAATTCTGGTGAGAAACCAAGGCCAGGGCTCTGGGAGTCATGCAGTAGATATGTCCAAAATGCAGTTCAGGTGTGCACAGTAAAGACTGGCGTGTTTCTGCCAGAACTATTTTAACTTGAATATCTAGGAGGATATTGTCATGATGTTAAAACTTCTTTGTCTGCACAAGGCCTAAAATGTATTGTAAAAAGAAAGATCTTTGTGTGCTTTTCCTTGAAATAAGTGATCCTAATGCTTGTCTGAATAACCGTGGAAGGATACAAAGAGCAATCAATCTTCTCGGATTATAAACACCAGGCAAGGAAGATCAGCTGCAGATTTGCTAAAGTAAGATGGTCTTGTCAGATTTGTAATAAATTTCCACATGACAGACCATCACCAGAAAATGTGCCCGTGTTTTAGTAAGGTTCCCAGACCTGACTCTGAAAGCACTCCTTACCATCTGATTGAAAATCTCGGAAGGGCTGCGGAGAGTCAGTGAAAGCTTAATTCACCGTGAATACGGACGTGCACTGAGCACTGTGGACGCTCCTGTGTAAGGTCAGTGACTTTCAGGAGGTGGGGCTTCTCATCGATAGTGACCCTTCCGTCCGCACTGAGGAAGAGGAGACTGGAGTTCTGCGTTTGTATCAGCCAGGGTTTTCTCGGCTCTGCTCTGATTTTCTTATGGAAGGATTGAGGCACACGTAGAGAGGGACCCTTTGGGCCGATGTAGGACTTTGGGTGATTCCACAGTTACTTCTTCATTATCCTTCCTCTTTACCCACTAAAATTTTGAATAAGATGAAATCGAGCTAAAAGAATGCCAAAGCCAGTTTCAAGGGAAGAAGACAGTACCTCCTGAGAGCACAGCCAGGAGCCCGGGCTGTTCTTTGGTGAAACAGGCAGGCTGGCCTCAGTGCTGGCAGTTGGGGTGCTGGCGGTTGGGGTGAGGAATTGGACGTTTTACGCACATGTAGCGCTGTACAGCTGATCAAACACTGAGACTCGCTGTTTCACTTCACCTGCACAAACGTGGGACATGTGACACAGGCCCTTGTTCTCCCAGTGGAGGAACAGGGGCAACGATTGGTGCGAAGCTTGAGTAAGAAGTGGAGCCGGGGCTGGACCACATCCGCTGCCTCTGGCCGGCGCGCAGCCACTCCGCATCTGCTGGAGCACCTCTGCCTCTCTGTGGTCACACTGTGGAGATGAGACCCTCTGCTTTTTTCCTCCTAAAGTGGGAATGCTTTAGACCCAGACATTGTTAGCTTTAAAATTAAACAGAAGAACTTTTTCTTGAAGAAAACATGGAGAAAGAGAGGAGGGAGTTAGGAACTAGTGGAGAAAGAGACATGATTAAATCTAACTTCCTGGGGACCTGTGACCTGGGATGCGTGTGGGCGGTGCTGCCCGAGCACAGCTCTGTGCTGCTCTTAGCTCTCTCGGTTTGCAGTGGGGCCTCTGGCCTGCACCGTGAGGCATGGAGTCTGTGTGGCAGGGTTTATCATGTGGGCTAGCTGGGCAGATCTTGAACTTTTTGGAGCTTCCGTTTTCTCATCTATAAAAACTGGGAATTAAAAATACCTGCCTTGGGGCTGGCCCCGTGGCTGAGTGGTTAAGTTCGCGCTCCGCTTCGGCAGCCCAGGATTTCATTGGTTCGGATCCTGGGTGCAGACATGGCACCACTCATCAGGCCATGCTGAGGCAGCATCCTACGTGCCACAACTAGAAGGACCCACGACTAGAAATACACAACTATGTACCGGGGGGCTTTGGGGAGAAAAAGCAGGAAAAAAAAAAGATTAGCAACAGTTGTTACCTCAGGTGCCAATCTTTAAAAAAAAAATACCTGCCTTATGTCATGGTTTTTTGTAAAGATTACATGAGATAACATATTTGGAAAACTCCAAGTCCCAGGATAAATCCAAGGGGCTATTTTAACTAGAAACCCTTGAAGTCTCGCTACCTCTGTGTGACAGTGAGCGCCATGCACAGTTGGGCTG